AGAGACACAGCAAGAGAGGGAACACAAGCAGGGGGAGTGGGAGAGGGAGAAGCAGGCTTCCTGCTGAGCAGGGAGCCTGATGCAGGGCTCAGTCCCAGGACCCTGGGATCATGACTTGAGCTGAAGGCAGATGCCTAATGACTGAGCCACCCAGGCGCCCCTCTTTGGCTCTTTTTCCACCCTCTTAAATTCCTTGACTTTTCTGAAAAACTCCTCTCTCTTCACTTCTCTATCTCCTACCTCCCATCCATCCATACGCACCACCATGTTATTCTAATCTAAACATAAAATGAATGGTCACAAAATGTTTTGAACCTGTCTTGCCTAGCTACTGCTGCCCCGTCTTCCCTTTTCAGAACTGGCTGGGCTACACTAAGAAGAGAGCACCCATTGGCTTCCATCGGGTTGTGGAAATTTTGCACAAGAATAGTGCCCCTGTCCAGGTAATGGCCCCCAAAGAGTGTTGGGTACAGGATCCTCTAGGAGACCTAACTTTTAGCCTCTTACTGATCAGTGATGGGAGACTTGAGACCTGCTCTGGTCTTATCTTAAAGATAACATAATGGTGGTAGTGGACCTTGAGATAGAAAAGGTGAAGGAGGGAAGTTCTCTTCTCCCCTTTAGAAGTAATCCCAGACTGCCCCTCTTTGAGGAACATCTACTGTGTTTTAGCCCATGTGGAGCACTGACATATTTTTCAAATGATACAAAAGGAGAGCTCAGTGAGAAAGGACATCAGGGAGCAATGAGCATAGCACTAGATCAGATCTAGAACACCTGTTGTTCGCCTGGGGATCTAGCTGTAGGGTAAGGCGGAGTGTGCTCTTCCCATCTCCCCTGAGCAAGCATGGAAGTACTGCATATAGTCTACCTCACTCCCCATTGCAGAACTAGTTCTATGGTTAATCATGGGAATGGTAGACATCAGATATGGAACTCTTGCTTTCCTCAGGATTTTTGTTGTCTTCCTTTTAGAGCTCTTTGTTTTATGGGTCTGGGAGTCATTAATCAGAAGTACCTTTTCCCATAGATACTACAAGAGTATGTTAATTTGGTGGAAGATGTGGACACAAAGTTGAACTTAGCCACCAAGTTCAAGTGCCATGATGTCGTCATTGATGTGAGTCCCTAAGAAATGAGAACCCTGAGTCAGACCCTTACTGGAGAATGGGGGATTATGATATTCTCTGTCTTAGATCCTGAGGTGCTTTCAATTTCAACTTAATAGACAAAATATTCTGGCAAGAATTAGTTTGGTACGAGTTCTCCTGTATTATTTTCCCAGCCCTTTGATAACCTCTCTGCTTTTATAAATTTGTTGCACTTAACGGAATTCACAGAACTGAATCCAGCCACATAAGCTCTGTAGATTTCTCTTCAAAAAGAAGTTCTGTAGGTGTTTGACCCCAATGTCATCCCACTATAGCCCCTCAGCCTCTCCTTGAACCTTGGCCTCATGTTGGGAGTGGCAGAAAGAAAAAGGCCCTCGTAGAGAAGGCTGATTGGAGGTTTTATTGTGTCTGTTGGTGTATAGACTTGCCGGGACCTGAAGGACCGTCAACAGTTGCTAGCATACAGGAGTAAGGTGGATAAAGGATCTGCAGAGGAGGAGAAGATTGATGCCATTCTGAATAGCTCGGTGAGCAGCTACAGCATACTCTCCAGCAGTCCCAGGAGACGGTCCTCATAGTACCATCAAATATATATCCCCAAGGCCTGCATGGGGTCACAGTTTGCTGAGTATCATGGATACAAGGATCTCCTCTGGGCCTCAGGGTCTGAAGCACTGCTTTGAATAGCAGAAATTACTCCTGAGATGTGGGGTGATCCAGTGGTAATCTGGGGACCTGGGGCTGAAACTTCACATAGCACCCTGGTAATCGTTAAACATAGCAGGTCAGAGGTACTAGTCCAGGGAGTATGGAAACAACTGCTACAGATTCAGAACATCCAGATGGTAGTTTCCTGGGGCCAGGGGTGACCTACCTGTTGGAAATAAGTGGGTAAAACGGATTTAGCTATTTGGGCAACAGCTGGCTCATCTCTCATAGCAGGAAATTGCTGAGCTTTTTGTTAATATGGAGCTTAGCTCCCTGTTAAATATTTTGGGACCTACCCTTGGATTATCTAAAGCTAGTGAGTCTTGGTCCTGAGTAGGGCAGAACCAGAATAAATGCCCTAAATGAAGCTTATAATATACAGAATGGGTGTTTGATTCATGTTTGAATAAGCAAACTCCCCCACATATTAGAAAAACAATTCTCAACTTCACTCTCCATTCTTATTCTTACATTATCTAGCTGTTAGCCTTGTTTTATTGTATTCCCCTACCTCTCTCTAGGGGTCAGTGGAAACGGATATTGTTTGTTCTTTCCACAGCAAATTCGATGGAAGAATTAAGTGGCATTGGCTACCCTGAAACCTGCCTCATTTCTTCCTTCCTGCCTGTGAAAGTAGAGCGTGCTATTCATTGGGAGAGTTACAGTACCACACATTGCTTGGACCCATCATCAACAGGCAGTGCCTGCTACTCTGAGGACAGAAACCAGCGCCTGGGCATAGACAGCTTCAGACTGATCTTCTGTCCAAGGATCATCGTCCAAGGGCCAAGATCTAAAGCTTTGACTCATGAGGAAGATTCTCTCCACCTGGTGCTCACATGAAGGTGGGAATAATTTCTAGATTGGGCCCATATTGGGCAAGATCTCTCTTGGTCTGGGAAAAATGACTGCTCTAGAAAAGAAGTCACCTAGACTAAGAGGTCAGGTGTCATAGAGTGGCCACTCCATTCCTCTCTGCTAATTATGACCCTGGACTTGGTGCTGGACATTGGCAGTTCTGCTCTGAATGAAGTCAGAAAAGAACCAAAATGGCTCTCTCCCAAGGGACCTCAGGAAGGGGTGCCAGTAATAGCCAGGAACTGTTGGAGGTGCCTTCACACCAGACTGCACAGAGTTCTCCACATAATGACAGAGATTGCCCAGATGTTGTGTTTCTTCACCCAGTGCCCTCTGATGCCCCAGTCTAGCCTCTGTCCAAGACTTGTGGTTCTTCTCTCACCTGCACACCAAAATGGCCTTGTGTGGGAGATAAGGACATCCCCGTTATCTTTTCCTCTACTTCTCCCACCCTAAACCCATAACCTTTTATGGAGCTCAGATTCAGCAGTGCTGTAGTGCTCTTCCCTTCTGCACAAATCTCATTATTTCACTAGGAGCTTCCAGAAGGTTCACCAGGGCTAAACTCAGCAGCATTTCAGACGGTTAGGATATTAGGTTGGAGGTTTGAGTTTCACACGTGGTTTTCAACAGGATATTCTGTAGTACTAGCCTCCTGCCCTGTACCAATATTAGCCTCTCTTCTCTGTGACTGAACTGGGTTTCCCCGACATGCCTAGACTCTATTAATAAAGCTTTTTCCTCCTTGGTGCCTTCTCTTTCCCTCCCATTGTTTTGTGCAGAACAATGAAATAATTGCCCTGTCTCTTGGGACCACTAGAAACCTGCCTCAGTGACTGCATTCAGTATCTGTCAACATAAGTCATGGAGTAATGGTGTTTGTGGCAAAGTACAGCTGCGTGGTTAACGGAGCACTGAGCTGGGAGACAAAAGACCTGGCCTCTTGTCTCAGTTCTACCGCTGATAAGCTGTGTGGTGTTGAGTGAATCCCTTTCTCTCTGGACTCACTATCTTAACCTGTCATAGGATAGTGTGTTTCTCTCAGAGCTTGTAGAATTATATGCTCCTGTGGAGTTGGTGAAGTTTTAGAGGAAAAGGAGTTGTATAGAAGCACACAGCAGGGGGCGCCTGGGTGGCTCAATTGGTTAAAAGTCTGTCTTCCGCTCAAGTCATGATTTCCTGGTGCTGGGATAGAGCCAGGCATCGGCATCGCATTGGGCTCCCTCCTCGGTAAGGAGTCTGCTTCTCTCTCCCTCTGCCCCTTCCCACGGCTCGTTCTCTCTCTTTCTCACAAATAAATAAATAAAATCTTAAAAAAAAAAAAAAAAACCAGCAGGCTTTTAGGCATGCGTTTCTCAACTGGGGACAATTTTGCCTTCTGGAGACCCGTGTCAAAATCTGGAGATGCTTTGTTGCTACAACAAGTGGGTGATACTAGCATCTAGTGGGTAGAAGCAAGAATGCTGCTAAACATCCTACAACGTAGGACAGCCCCCTCCAACAAAGAATTATCCTGCCCAGAATGTCAGTAATGCAAACCTGCTTTAAGGTGATCAGACTCCACCTCTTGCTCCTCTACTTTGCAATTCCAGGTAACTTCATAGTTCCTTCTCTGCTCATCCCTCTTGCTATTGAAGAAACAGGAGTTTAATTTGCTGAATTGTGCTGAAGTTATTGCCTGATTGTCCAACAAACCATGGTGGCTTTATTAATTAGTATATCAGGATTCATTTAGAGAAGCAGAACCATTAGTATGTAGTCTGTCTATATGTAGGATTCATTACAGGGATTTGACTTTACTCAAGTATGGCTTTGGTTAAACAGCCTCTGGAAGGTTGTCTTCATATCTGTTGGTAGAGCTGGATGTCCACAGGGCAGGCAGTGGGGAAGGGAAGGTGGATAAAATGTGAGGGGAAGCAAGGACAAGATGGAGCCCATGAGGATGGACAGGAACCCGTGTCAGTTCTCACTGCCTCTAATGTTGAGGAAGTGGGTGTCCTGCAGCTGCTGGCCTATGTCGCAGAGCTGAACACAAACCTGGCTCAGGAGTGTGAGAAGCTGTAGGAGGATCCAGAGGAAATTGTAGCAATTGCTGGTCCAACTGCTGCCCCACACCAGCAGGGTTGCTAGCAGACAAAGTACCTGCCCTGACCTTGCAAGCATCAACACAAACTAGCTGTTGCTTCAACTCAGCCTTCCAGATCTTGCACAGAAGTCTCTTGTGGCTAACCAGAAATATTCAGGGAAGGGAATTCCGGGAAATGTAGTTTAGCCTAGCCAACTTGACATGTTACAAAGCCACAACCACTGGATCTGTATTTTTGAGAATGTGTTAGTGAAGGATGGGCCTAGAGTCCACACCTGTACAGGTTCACCAGTGCTGCATGGTCATGCTGAGTGGGGAGATTTTGAACTTTCTCCTTCAGAACAATAACATCACATCCAACATTAGGATTACCTACCTACTCAGTGTTGTGATCAAAGGAAGTATTTTCTCAAACTTGATAAGAACTTCCATATTCTTCACTTCAAGTGCTAAAATTGGGATTGACATAAGAGCCCTCGAATGATAGTCAACTAATCTTCGACAAAGCAGGAAAGAATATCCAATGGGAAAAAGAAAGTCTCTTTAACAAATGGTATTGGGAAAACCGGACAGTGACATGGAGAAGAATGAAACTGGACCACTTTTGTACACAATACACAAAAATAAATTTGAAATGGATGAAAGACCTAAATGTAAGACAGGAAACCATCAAAATCCTAGAGGAGAAAACAGGCAGCAACCTCTTTGACCTTGGCCACAGCAACTTCTTACTTAACGTACCCCGTACCTCCAGAGTCAAGGGAAACAAAAGCAAAAGTGAACTATTGGGAACTCATCAAGATAAAAAGTTTCTGCATAGCAAAGGAGACAACAAAAGCAAAAGGCAACCAATGGAATGGGAGAAGATATTTGCAAATGGTATATTGGATAAAGGGTTGGTATCCTAAATCTATAAAGAACTTATCAAACTCAACACCCAAAAAACAAATAATCCAGTTAAGAAATGGGCAGAAGACATGAATAGACACTTTTCCAAAGAAGACATCCAGATGGCTAACAGATGCATGAAGAGGTGCTCAACGTCACTCATCATCAGTGAAATAACAAGTCAAACCACAATGAGATACCACTTCAAGCCTGTCAGAATGGCTAAAATTAACAACTGAGGAAATAACAGGTGTTGGTGAGGTTGTGAAGAAAGGGAACCTTTGTGCACTGTCGGTGGGAATGCAAACTGGTACAGGCACTCTGGAAAGTAGTATGGAGGTTCCTCAAAAAATTAAAAATAAAACTACCCTATGGCCCAACAATTGCACTACTAGGTATTTATCCAAAGGATACAAAATACAAAAATGCTGATTCAAAGGGGGCACATGCAACCCAGTGTTTATGGCAGCATTATCAACAATAGCGTAATTATGGAAAGAGCCCAAATGTCCATCAACTGATGGAATAGATAAAGAAGATGGGTATATATGTATTTGTATGGGTATAGATATACCCATCTTCTTTGTATGTGTGTGTGTACATATATATATACACTAAGTCTTTTTTTTTTTTTTAAAGGTTTTATTTATTTATTTGACAGGGAGAAAGCAAGAGCGGGAACACAGGCAGGGGGAGTGGGAGAGGGAGAAGCAGGCTCTCTGCCGAGCAGGGAGCCCGACGTGGGACTTGATCCCAGGACCCTGGGAACATGACCTGAGCCGAAGGCAGACGCTTAACGACTGAGCCACCCAGGTGCCCAATAAATTAGTCTTAAAAAAACAAAACAAAACAGAGGGCACCTGGGTGGCTCAGCAGGTTAAGCGTCTGCCTTCGGCTCAGGTCATGGTCCCTGGGATCTGGCATCGAGCCCCGCATCGGGCTCCAGCCTGATATACAGTGTACACACACTGTATATACATACAACACACAGAATATTACTCTGATCAAAAAGAATGAAATCTTGCCATTTGTAACAACGTGGATGGAACTAGAATATATTATGCTAAGCAAAATAAGAGAAAAAAATCAGATGATTTCACTCGTGGAACTTAAGAAACAACAGTCATGAGCATAGGGGAAGGGAAGGAAACGTAAAATAAGATAAAAACAGAGGGAAACAATCCATAAGAGACTCTTAACTATAGAGAACAAACAGGGTTGCTGGAGGGGAGGTAGGTGAGGGGATGGGCTAAATGGCTGATAGGCACTTAGGGGGGCACTTGCTGGGACGAGCACTGGGCTTGTATGTGGGGGATCAATTGCTGGATGCTCCTGAAAGCAGGGCTGTGCTGGATGTTAACAAACTTGAATTTAAAAAAAAAAAAAAACTAAGAAGAGCCCTGCTATGAAAGGGATTAGAGAAGCCAGAGGCATGAAAGGTCGCATATTTTGTGGTTCCATTCACGTGAAACATCCAGAAAAGGTAAATCCGCAGAGACAAAAAGCAGATTTGGGGTGCCAGGGGCTGAGGAGGGTGGCCGGCAAGTGGGGAGTAACTGTTTAACGGGTATAGGGTTTCCTTTCATCGGGAAGATAAAAATGTTCTGGAACTAGAGGTAGTGGGTATGAGTGTATTGTGAACGTACTGAATTGTTCTAAATGGCTATGTTATGTGAGTTTCACCTCAATTTTTTTTTATTTAAAAAGTGGGTTAGAGTGGTGCCTCACGGGCTCAGTCTGTAGAGGGTGTGACTCTTGATCTCAGGGTCGAGAATTCGAGCCCCACATGCAATGTCGAGATTACTTTCAAAAAAAGTGGATGAGAGATTTGAGCTAGTTTTGATTTCTGATCTCAGTTTTGCCATTGCTATAATAAAATAGAGTTCTGAATATCACTGATTTCTTTCCCTGGCTTTATTGAAGTATAATTGTATAAAATAAAAAATAAAAATTGTAGATATTTAAGGCATACAACATGATTTAATATATGTTGTGAAATGATTACCACAGTTCAGTTAATTAACACATCTGTCATCTCATATAATTACCTTTTATGTATGTGGTGAGTACATTTAAAATCTACTCTTAGCAAATTTCAAGTATATAGTATAATTAACTATAGTCACTATGGTGTACATTAGATCCCCAGAACTTACTCATCTTACTCATCAGTATCTTGAATATAAAAGAAGGAGTTTGAAAAATAACTCCTTGACTAGTGCTGAGATCTGTATGATATTACAGTCTGAGAAAAATCTAGAAGTCTAGAATCTTCTGTTAGGAAAAGGAGGATCCCATACTTCCCTGTTTCTAGTGCTCCTAGAAGTAGTGGAAAGGGGCGCCTGGGTGGCTCAGTTGGTTGAGTGTCTGACTATTGATTTCGGCTCAGGTCATGATCTCAGGGTCGTGAGATCAAGCCCTGTGTTGGGCTCCGCACTCAGTGGGGAATCTGCTTGAGATTCTACCCCTCTCCCTCTGATCCTCCCCGCTCAAATAAATCCTCAGGGTGGGGGGGAAACTAGTGGAAAGAATTCCTGTCCTCATGAGGCAGGTCTGCAAATCTCTCTGTGGGGCTGGCCCCTTTAAGTCTCAGAGACTGAAGTAATCTGGTAGCTAAGGAGTCATAATGACAGCTTTCTTGGGTAATTCTCCCTGGAAATGTATTCTTACTCTCCAGGACCAGAAGTACTGAGGAGTAGTGCCACCTTCTCCTCACTTTAGTTGGTGAGAGATATATGTAAACGGGCTTATGTATCTCTGGCTTCATTTTCTAAAATCCAAATGTCCTTGCCCTAGACAGGGGACCATGTTAGTTATTTTGGGCTCTTTCCTATCCTTTGGGGAACACAGAGTTTAGTGAAAAGAATTCTTCTGAAGTGTGGTGTACATGGCCAGTTCTATTTCTAAGGCTTAGGAGGGAGTAGAAGGGAGAAGGTCCTGGCTCACGAGCATCTGTGAAACCCACTGCTGATGTAAATGCATCTCTTGAAAATGTGCATGTAGCCTATGTGGAGGAATGTTACTTTGGATTTTTGTTCAGTTTTTTTGTGAATCCAGGTATTCCTGATCCATGGGCAGTCAGTGCATAGGAATCCTCCAGGACTCACACTGCAAGTACAGAATGTGGGAGGAGAGAGGTGCTGAAGCCCACCATCACAAGAGCCTGTGACTTGGGCACACACCCTCCTGCATAGACTCCCTCGTCTTCCAAGACAGGGAGCCAAACTGATTGGCATCTGTCACTGCAGGAGATGGTGGCTTAGAAATGGACATGCTAGGGGACCTTGAGTCCCTACAGTTTGAGTATGGGATTCAAGAGGAAGATCGCAGCTGGCTGTATTTGCAGGGCCGTTCTCGAGGGCTGATGATCAAGGCCTGTGCCCATGCAACCTTCTTCTGCAAGCTACTTTGTAACTTGAGGTAAGCTAGGTCTCCAAGGTAGGGCAGATGGAGAAGAATCTCACCGTGGAGTATCCAAATGACTTAAACTTTCTATATTGGAGGATACCTTTGGCAGGGGGAGTGTCTTCCTACCTATTCCAACCCACCGTCAATCACTGTGGTCTGAAGGCACTGGGAAATGCATACCAGAGTCCGCTGGCTGTGGTTACATAACGAAGCACAGCTTGTGGTGATTTCCTTTGGGTGGGTGGATTGATTAAATGATCATTCATTCACCCATTCACTCACTCACTGGGACCACCAGCTTGTCTTCCACAGCTACCAATGACTAGCTATCCTGTGGCTGTTGGCTGAAAATGAGGTTGGTTCTCCCTTTCTGGGCTAAGCTAATAGTGGAATTCTCCCTAACAGGAAAGCCACCTGAAACTCTGGGGGTCCTTTTGGTCAGCTGACTTGCATGAAACCCAAGGATACTGATTTGCAAAGAAGCTCAGTCTAGTCCTGACCTCTGGTGTCTTTATACAATGTGGCTTCAGACACTTAAACAGGAAGTGTGTGAGAGCCAGGTGCCTAAGCCCAGACTCCTGGATTCTATAGGCTACTCCTGGAACATTGGTAGTGCTCCCCCACCCCCAGACAACTTTTTTCTGAAATTAGATCAACTCCTGGATGGTGGGACCAGATCTGAATTGAACATGTTACAGATATAGCAGATACACAAAGAGGCAGGCTGCTTTATAAGTCTGCTGATTAGTTGACTGATAAGGATACATAAACCTTCTGGTTGCATCCCAGATGAGTGGTGAGAAACCAAAATGTGAAATTTCTGGGAGGCATTTTATATTTGGGAGGATCAGGCACAGAGTAAATGCTTTCCTTTCAACCTAGAGAGAAGCTTTAAATAGAATGTGGCTTGTGATGTTTATATGGAAACTCCAGAGCTTAAGTCTAATTTTAACAGAAATAGAGAACAAATACAAGATTGTCATATAACAACAGAAAACAGTGCCTTATGTATTCAGATGTCAGACTTTGTTCACCTTGGGCCAAGGATACACATCCAGAACCAACAGTAAGTGAGCCTCTGGAAAGAGTGGTCTCAAACCTTGGATCCTCAATTTCCCAGGTTTGTTTTCCCCTATATACCACTTCCTTTTATAAATCATATGTTTGAAAAAAGCTAAGTTACCTGGTTACCCAGATGTATGCAAAACTAAAATAGCAAAGCAGAAAGAGTAGGTATGTGGTAGGAGAGGGGTATGCTTATCATGATGGTAATGAAAACTGACAACTGTCTACACAGGAAGCAATGAAGCAACTGGCCCACAGTGTTCCAGGATGCTGCAAAAACAGCAGTTCACAATGATAGTCCTGAGTCAAAACAGTTAAATATTCAGCCCTTGTGTTTAAGAAGGCAGGGAAATGCACAGTACATGTAACAACAACAAAATATGATCATTTAAAAATGTTTTAAACAAGTTTCGGTCCCTTGAAGTGGGACGCTTTACTTTGTGGAAAATTTGCTCAGGGGGAACATTTCATTCCCCAGCAATGCTGAGTAAGTGGCACCTAATTGGAATGCCTTATCTCTGGAGTACTTCAGGGGCCACCAGGCTGCCACAGGAGGCAGTTAAAGCAGAGAACATCGGAGGTTGACAGTTAAGAAGAGCTACAGGGTTCATGTGTATTTATTTATGTGTCTGTGTGTTCATTCTCCAGAGAATCATTCCATGAGAAGCAGACTTCCAGCTGTCCCTTGACTGGATTGCTTACTGGCATTCCCGATGATGATGAGTTAAAGGTGGGCATCATTGGAGGTGGCCACCTTGGGAAGCAACTGGCTCGTGTACTGCTTCAGCTTGTCCCCATCCCTGCTGAGAACCTGAGGATCTCCACTCGGAGGCCAGAGGCCCTGGGTGAGGAACAGTGTGTGGCAGAGAGGGACTTGGGTGTTGATGAGGCCATTTTGAAAGGGTCCCTTGAATAAGGAGTCCCTGCACGCAGCATACTGAGTTCTCTGCTTGCTAGCCCTGAAAGAAGCTAGAAAGATGTTTATGTGTGTGTGTGTGTGTTTAAAGATTGATTGATTGATTGATTTGAGAGAGATCACGTGCGTGCGAGTTGGGGAGGAGCAGAGGGCGAGGGAAAGAGAGAGAGAATCTCAAACAGTCTTCCCGCTAAGCACGGAGCCTAAAGCAGGGCTCCATCTCCTAATCCTGAGATCATGACCTGCGCCGAAATCGAGTCAGACGCTCAACCTACTGAGCCACCCAGGTGCCCCTTAATCACCATTTTAATATACCTTTTAAATTTTTCTTGTTTTAATATATTCTCTACTGATCACTAAAGAACTGAATATGTTTTATAGCTTTATTACTAGTTCCTTTTTTTGAGTTCTTTTTGTCCAGTTTTTCTGTTGGAGTGCCTGACTGAATTTTTCTTTTTAATTTGCAAGCATTCTTTCTATATTAAACTTAAAAAAGAATCTTACCATGTAAAACAAATTTCTCAGATTTCATCAATAGGACTAGTATATATGTTTCAATAAGGTACATATATTCTTTGGAAAGCACTATATTTATTAATAATAAAATTACAGTTTTAGAACATCCCTGCGTGTTGTGTAAGGAAGAAAGAATTCAAAATGCTTAGCATCAGGGTGCCTGGGTGGCTCAGTTGGTTAAGCGACTGCCTTCGGCTCAGGTCATGATCCTGGAGTCCCGGGATTGAGTCCTGCATCGGGCTCCCTGCTTGGCAGGGAGTCTGCTTCTCCCTCTGACCCTCCCCCCTCTCGTGTGCTCTTTCTCTCTCATTCTTTCTCTCAAATAAATAAAGAAAATCTTTAGAAAAAAATGCTTAGCATCAGATTATTATTATTTTTTTTAAAGATTTTGTTTATTTATTTGACAGAGAGAGAGAGAAGAGAGCATGAGCTGGGGTGGGGGAGGGAGAGGGAGAAGCAGATTGCCTAGTGAGCAGGGAGCCCAAAGCAGGGATCATGACCACAGCCAAAGGCAGAGGCTTAACCGACTGAGCACCCAGGCGTCCCTTAGCATCAGATTCTATACAATTTTGAGAACAACCTGTGAAAGAAGTATGGATGTGCATGTTTTCTAAACTTCCTCTTTGTCCCATCCATCTTCCAGGTTTATGAGTGCCCAGATAACATCAGCGTCAAATGTTACATTATACCCTTGGTGGTTAAAATAAGAACTCACTTCTCCAATGTCTGTAATATTCTGTTTTCCAATAACCCTTAAAACATACTACCTTATGTGAGTTTACATTTTTACTTTTGAAATCCATATCGAATAAGTACAAATGATTAACTGCCAGTGACTGAATGCAAATACATGAGTCATCACATTTCTCTCAACGTTTAAAACTATCCTGTTAAAATAACAATAAGTTGCATATACTTTACTGAAACTGTAAGTATATCTTTCCAAACTCCTCCCAGCTTCTGCCCTATGTTCTTCCATTCTCTTAGCCTTTCCCACCAGCTCAAGCCATGTGATTTCTCAAAATCTCAGTTTCCTCATCTATAATATAGGAATAATACTAGTCTCAGAAGGTCCTTGTGGGGACTGACTTAGATAATGTATGTAAAGTACTTTGTACACTACCTGGCACATGATAAACCATCATTAAATTAGAGCAAGAAGGCTTCTTCCAGATTTTTTTCTTCCTAACCAACCAACCTGAAAAATTCTAGCATTTGGTCTAAAAGTAAGATAGGATGAATTATTATCTCCAGCACGGCTGCAGTGACACTAGCTTTTTTGATGATGGGGTTAGGGCATGGCCCATGTCTTTTAGAAGACGTCCGGAGGGGGTCTCTCTGATTCACGTGGAGAGAGGACTTGAGAAAAAGTCATTGTCATCCTCTCCCCACAGCTGATGTTTAGGTCAAACTCCTTTGTAATGTAATCTTTCTTTCTTCCTTTATCCCTCCCAGATGATTTCCAGAAACTGGGAATCCAGTGTTTTTACCATAACCCTTATCTGGTGGACTGGGCCAACGTGCTGTTCCTCTGCTGCCTGCCATCTCAGCTGCCTAATATCTGCCTAGAAATTCAAACCCGCCTGGAGAAAGGTTGCATCGTGTACAGCTTCGTGGCTGCCGTCCCAATAGCCAGGTAGCCTATTAGGGTGAGCGGGAAGCTGGCAGAACTGCTCCATCCGCTCCTATCTGGCTCCTCCCCCCCACCTCCACCCCAGCCCCCTGCCTCCCCCTTGGGGTCGGTCATTCCCAGTAATAAGGTGGAAGAGCAGCTTCATCTGCAACACCCAGCCAGCCTTTCTAATTATGTCTTCCCCACTTCTCCATAAACAGCCCTTGTGGGTGGACTGTTTCCGTTGATGGGCAAATGGTTAGAACTGCAATGGAGCATTGCTTCCCACCACTTGAACCTGACTTGTGTTCCCCTTGTGCATCGGTGGGAAGTCAACACCATGAAAAGTGATTGACAGCATGTGTCAAATATTATTTTTGTACCCCTGCTGTCTAGCCTAGTGCCTGGCAAGAGACCACATTCACTAAGCGTCGGGTAGACTGCCGAACAAGACAATGGTTAAGTGGTGCCCTCAGTGCTGCCTGCACCCACGGTTGCCTCTGAGCGGCGCTGTGCAGGGCAGGAAGTCGCGGGGTGGGGGGGAGGGGGTTGGATGCGATCCAACGCAGTGGGTCATGGGGTGGTTTATGGGAGTACTGGCTCTGCACTCCCTGTCTTGGGTGCTTTCCTTTCAGGTTGAAACTCCTACTGAACCACACCAATATCTTGCGGCCTCAGTATCAGTGTGTTGGAAATTTTGTCAACATCTGGGGGGCCAACAAGGACATCACAGCTGCCCTCCAAGATCCTGTGATTCTTCAGGCTACCTGTCCCTACAGTCCTGCTGGTACTGGCTTGCCATGTTTTTGGCATTCTTTTAAAAGTTACTTTCCTCTTGGCCTGGTGCTATTTTATAATCCCAGTGTGTGTGTGTGTTGTGTCTCGGGTATGTGTGTAGGGGGCGTACAGGCTGGACATATTCTCAGCTATTTAGGTTTTTTGTTTTGTTTTTAAAGATCTTATTTGTTTAAGAGAGAGAGTGCACACATGAGCAGGGGGAGCAGCAGAGGGAGAGGGAGAAGCAGGCTCCTTACAGAGCAGGGAACCCGAGTGGGGGTTTGATCCCAGGACCCCGGGATCATGACCTGAGCCAAAGGCAGACACTCAACCAACTCAGTCACCCAGGCACCCCCAGCTATTTAGGTTTTGAATGGGAGCAGTTTTGGTGGCAAAAAGCCAGCCTTCTTTAGGGAAAGCAGAGAAGTCTGAGCACTCAGACCTGTTAGGGCTGAACTAGAAACAGCCAGAGGTAAGAGCCTATTTAAACAAGAGGATGTGATGTCTGGCACTACATGGCTTTTCCCTGCTCTAATCTTGTATTTTTCCCTAGTCTCTTCTCCTTATTGGAAGGATCATTCTAGAGATTTCAAGGATGCTTTTGCCATTAGCAATGTTTACATTAGTCATACCTGTCCTCCTAGGGTAGGGGTAACACACAATTTGTTATAAAGGGCACAATTAGAGCTCTTGGCTTACAAAGAGGAGTGTTTGCTTATCTTCAGGTTCTTTCTTACGACCAACATATCTTGAAAAAAAGGTGGTTGTTCACTGTCTGGGGTTTGTCCTATATTCTAGGCAAACCCTTTTGGTGGTGCTAACTGGTATTTCCCTCCCCATTAATGTGTAGGGGGAATAATCCTCAATATCAAGTGGTTGGAGGGAGTGTTATACGTGGTCCTAAACATCTGCACCGCAAGGGACATGCCTCACTTACAAGTGCTGCAGCTTCTGAATGAACTTTTACTCTCTGTGCACTTTGAAGACTGTGAGAAAGATGGAGCATCTTGCCCCAAATTTCAATTACATGATTTTGTCAGCCAAATCTATAGCAAGAACCTATCTCAGCAAAGGTAAGGCATCAGACAGCTGGCTATTCTAATTTCTCCTGCACTGTTGTCTTAGCAGATGCTTTTTCTCTCTTTTTTTCCTTTCATGTAATCTTAAAATTTTATAAAAATAATACATTCTTGGGTTTTTTTTTTAAAGATTTTATTTCTTTGACAGAGAGAGACATAGCGAGAGAGGGAACACAAGCAGGGGGAGCAGGAGAGGGAGAAGCAGGCTTCCTGCAAAGCAGGGAGCCCTGATGCGGGGCTCGATCCCAGGACCCTGGGATAATGACCTGAGCCGAAGGCAGACGCCTAACGACTGAGCCACCCAGGTGCCCCAAATTCTTGGTTTTTTAAAAAGATTTTATTGATTTGAGGGAGAAAGAGAGAGTGAGAGGGAAAGAGAGAGAGAGAGTGCACATGAGCAGAGGGAGAGGGAGAAGCAGGCTTCCCGCTGAGCAGGGAGCCTGATGCGGGGCTCGATCCCAGGACCCTGGGATCATGACCTGAGCCGAAGGCAGTCGCTTAACCAACTGAGCCACCCAGGTGCCCCCAAAATAATACATTCTTGTAAAAAATCCAACTAGTGGAAAAGTGAAAGCCCTCCTTTGTCCCCCAAATACCGTTTGGTTTTTATATTTTATCTTTTTATCTATACATTTTAGAAACATGCAGACTGTGTATACTGATTTTTCACTTGCTACGTTATAGACACCGTTCTATGTCCGTACAATCATATCTACTTCATTTATGAGCAACTGCATAGGTATCTGTTGGATACATTAATTATTTCATTAAATTTATTCATCTTATTCCTTCTTTATGGCGATGTAGTTTTCCCATGCCCCAAATTCTGAATACGGGGCTGCCACTGAACATTCTTGTACTTACTTTGCACACCTGTACCAATAATTCTGTCGGAGGAACATCTAGAAGAATGTTCTAGAAGGATATTTCTGGGTCAGAGGTTATATATATTTTACGTTTGATAGGTATTCCCAAGTTGCTTATCGAAAACGTGGTGCTCATTTACATTTCCACCAGTAGTGCATGAGCGCACCATTTCTCTATAGCTTGATTACTTGATCAATCTTTTTATTTTTTTTATTTTTTATTTTTAAAGATTTTATTTATTTGAGAGAGAGAGAGAATGAGAGATAGAAAGCACGAGAGGGAAGAGGGTCAGAGGGAGAAGCAGATGTGGGACTCGATCCTGGGACTCCAGGATCATGACCTGAGCTGAAGGCAGTCGCTTAACCAACTGAGCCACCCAGGCGCCCTTGATCAATCTTTTTAAACTTTGGTGATCTAATAGGGAAAAATTGTTGCCCTTGTTACCAGTTACCAGTGATTTCCATGCCACGAAATTCACTGGTCACATTTTACTTTATTTTATTCTATTTATTTTAAGATTTTATTTTATTTATTTTATTTTATTATTTTATTTTATTTTATTTATTTTATTTATCTTATTTATTTTTTATTTTGAGAGAGAGAGCGCGCACCAGTGAGGGAAGGAGCAGAGGGACAGGGACAGAGAGAATCCCAAGCAGACTCCCCACTGAATGCGGAGCCCGACGTGGGGCTCAATCTCAGGACCCTGAGATCGTGACCTGAGCCGAAATCAAGAGTTCGACGTTCAACTGACAGAGCCCCCCAGGTGCCCCTACTGGATACTTTTTAATCCTTTTCTTCCTTGGCTATTGAACATTCCATCCTCCTTGAAGCAATCTCTTCTCTTGACTTTCCTGCTACCCTCACATTCTCCTCATTTTATTCCTGTCTCTCTAGCTCCTCCTTTGCCAGCAGCTTTTCTTTTGCCTCCTCCGATGTCTGGGAGTTTTCAGGGCTCTGTCCTAGGCCTTCTTTGCTTGCCGCTCTACACTGTGTTCACGGCTGTGCTCTTCCACTTCCGGGACTTCGGGTGCTATCTTTACACCAACAGCACATGACTCTGTATCTCTAGTCCAGATGTCAGCTTGAAACCCGGGGAAGCTTGTGGTCACCATCTACCCTCAAACTCAACAGTCCAGAAGCATACCTGCTCTCCTACCTGCTCTGCTGGTGTTTCTCACCTAATTACATGCTCTTCTGCCAAGCTGTTCAAGCCAGAACTAGGGAAGTGATCCTTGATTCTCTCTTATCTTTTGTATTCTAATTAATCACCAATGGCCTGTGAAGCACTTTCCGTTTGGGGATTTTCCTTCCCCCTTAGCCTGTGATTCCTTTCTCTCTTGAATGTTGGATCTCTTTTTCCTGGCTCCCTCTTCCCCTGGCATGGTTTTTTCTTTCATAGTGGTGGCTCATATCCTCCTCCAATAGCTTCCTTAGGAAAGAATGCATAGGAAGTAACTTAAAGAGACTATGTCTGAAAATGTTTTTATTTTAACCTAATATTTTATTGAGAACATAGCCAGGTATAGAATTCTAGGTTAGAAGTGATTTTCCCTCAGAATTTTAAAGGCATTGCTTCATTGTCTTACAGACAGAGTTGCTGTTGAGAGGTACAGTGCCATTCTAACTCTTGAATTCATCCTTTGAAATCTGTTTCTTTTCTCTCTGGACGCTTATAGGATCTTTTGACCTTAGTATCCTGAAATTTTATGATGTGTCATGATGTGCGTCTATTTTATTTATTTTTCATGTGGGTCTGTTTTAACTCACTGTGTTGGGCACAGGGTGAGCCTTTCCTTTCCCCCCACCCTTAATTTAAAAAAATTTTGTGAAATATAACACATACACAGAAAAGTACATATCCCATAAATACATAAATATCCAGTTTAATAAACTATTGTAAAGGAAATACCCATGTAACTGATACCCATAAAAGAAACAGAACATTCAGTAGTCCTTTTCAATCTGAATGTCAAGTTCTCCAATTTTCTCCAATAATTTTGTCTCCTTGCCTGTTTTCTTTCTTCTTTTTCGAAATATTTTATTAGTCCAGTGTTGGACCTCCTGGACTGGTACTCTGATTTTATCTTTCCTACTTTTTAAAAAAGGGTATTATTTATTTGAGAGAGAGCACAAGCGATGGGGAGGGGCAAAGGGAGAGGGAGAAGCAAACTCCCTGCTGAGCAGGGAGTCAACACAGGGCTCAATCCCACAACCCCAAGACTATGACCCAAGCTGAAACCAAGAGTCAGATGCCCAACTGACTGAGCCACCCAGGTGCCCCTATTTTGAATATTTTCTTTTTTTTTAATATTTTATTTATTTGAGAGAGAGCAAAAGTGTGAGAGGTCACAGAGGAAGAGGGAGAAGCCAACTTGCTGCTGAGCGTCAGATTCAGGGCTCTAAGGACCCTGAGATCATGACCTGAGATGAAGGCAGACGCTTAGCATTTACTGGACTGAGCCACCCAGGGGCCCCTATTTTGAATATTTTCAAAGATTTTTTAAGAATCTCCAAATATTCAGGGGCGCCTGGGTGGCTCAGTCGTTAAGCGTCTGCCTTTAGCTCAGGTCATGATCCCAGGGTCCTGGGATTGAGGCCCACATCGAGCCTCACATTGGGCTCTCTGCTCAGCGGGAAGCCTGCTTCTCCCTCTCCCACTCTGCCTGCTTGTGTTCCCTCTCTCACTGTGTCTCTCTCTCTGTCAAATAAATAAATAAAATCTTTAAAAAAAAAAAAAAAGATTTTAAAAATCTCCAAATATTCCTTTTTATGTAGCATACTGTTGTCATTTCATTATGCAATACCATCTCTTATCCCTTTGAGAATGTAAATGAGAGAATTTTTTTTCTTCTTTGAGAAGTCTATTTCCTTCAGGTTGTTTACTGATCATTTGTTTTGGTCTCTGTCATTCATTTGAGAAGTTTTATTCAAGTATATGGAGAACTTTGCTCATATTTAAGATCCCAGTACTAGAAAGTTGCTTGGAAACTCTGCAGTCAAATGTTCTCCCCCTGAGGTATCCCCCTTTTGGAAACTCTGTTTGCGCTACTGTGGTCTTTACTACAGAGTGATTTGATCGGCTGTTTCCTTGGAAAACCTTGAATATTGATATCTTTAAGTCTTTGGAACCCAACTTGGGGAAAGAAAGCTGTGTATGTGTGTAAGAAGAGGGGTGATCTTATCACTAGATTTTTTTTTTTTTTTTACTTTCTTCCCCCTCTATTCAACAAATCCTTTCCTTCAACAGTGCCTATTGTTCCCCTGTCCAGAGACCCTCTATTTAACTCTTCCAGAGAATAAATAAATAAATCGGAGGAGGATGGACAGTTTCCTGACTGTACAGCATTGGGTAGGGTGCTGTGAGGGTCTGGTCTCTATCCCTTTTAAGATTTTCAACCCATCATCCTATTTTTAGTCCCCTCACACTTCCACTTCCTGATGTGCTTCCTGAGTCTTTTGCGGGTCTTATGATGTAAATGGACTGTGTCTTGGTTTTCCCTATTGCTGACTTCAGATTCAGCTCAGTGTTATCATTTGTCCATATTTTTTCCAGCTTCCAACTTGTTGCTCTTGTGTTCTCTCTTATTCTCATTTTAAATTCTTTGCCTATTTTTCTTTTGGATTGTTTGCTTTTATTTATTGTTTTATAAAAGGTTTAAGGGGTGCCTGGGTTGGCTCAGTCATTAAGCGTTTGCCTTCGGCTCAGGTCCTGATCCCAGGGTCCTGGGATCAAGCCCCACATCAGGCTCCCTGCTCCGCGGGAAGCCTGCTTCTCCCTCTCCCACTCCCCCTCCTTGTTTTCCCTCTCTCGCTGTGTCTCTCTCTGTCAAATAAATAAAATCTTTAAAAAAAAAAAGAAGAAGAAAAAGGGTTTTAGTAGGAATATGTTATGTATATTGGAAATAATTTTCATATTTCTCTTTTTGGTAACTTTTGCTGTTCAGGGATTCTAATTTTTGTACTCAAAATTGTCAAATTACTTCTCTATGGCTTTAGAGTTTCAAAACATACTTACTAAGAACCTCTTCATCTGGGGTGCCTGGGTGGCTCAGTCATTAAGCGTCTGCCTTCGGCTCAGGTCATGATCCCAGGGTCCTGGGATCAAGCCCCACATCGGCTCCCTG